TTTAGAAAGGTTAATAATATGTTAATAAGCATATATTTTAAATCTAATTTTTTATAAATATATATTATTTACTATAATATATTATTTTTTTATATTAGGTATTGCTTTAGGTAAATTATATAAAAATATTATATAATATTAATAATTATGTATTTGTAATGATAAAATGGTATGATTATTGTGAATAAAATGATAAAGAATTAGATTTTATGAAAGTTTTAGACTATTAATATTAAAGAATATGATATAGTATTATTAGATTCTATTGAACAAGTGTACATATTATGCTAAGATTTTATAAAAAAAATCAGTTCTTAATAAATAGATATATTTTTTAATAATAAAATAAATTTGTTTATTTTAAAATTTTAAATAAATTATCTAAACTTACATATTTACAAAATTTACCTTAAAATGCAATTTTTCAAATTTGTTGTTTTTTGATAGAGATTCTCTAAAATTGCATATTCATTAAATTTAGCTTAATATGCAAATTTTTAAAATATTATTTTTTTTAGTAAATATTTTTTAAAATTTGCAGATTATTGCATTTATTTTAATATGCAAATTTTTGAATTACTATTTTTTGGTAAAGTTTTTTCACAATCGAATATTATTACATTTTTTTTAAATGCAAATTACTAGATATTATTCATTTTTAATAATTTTTTACAAATAATCATATGATTTAATCTCCTGATGACTATCATTTTATTAAGAAATAAATTTTAAGTATTATTACAAATTTTATTACAATCCTAAATCAAACTCCTTAAATAGATAAATAATTAATTTATATCTTAAATATAATGCTTTTACTTTGTTAAAATATTATTTTTAAATTATCTTACTTTTCTTTAATAAAAATCATCAACTTTCTAATTTCTTAAAAAAAATGGTTAAACATGATTTCTTAATAACTATATTAACTTCTGATTATTTGTTAAAGAAAGCATTTTCTATAATTTTAATGATCTTTGGATTTAATAATTAAAATTCTTTTTACTATTCTCCTATATTAATTTAATTATAAAACTTTTTACAAAACAGTATCAAAGATTCATTTTTCTAACTTTAATTATAATACTTATTATATATTTCATCCCTTCAATAATAAGATTGATCTTTTGATAATATATTTTATCAAAATATTATTGGAGTTATATTAAGCCTGTTAAAATATGAAAATATGAATATATTCTTCAATTTATACTAATCTTTAGTCAATCCCATTAAGGAAGGCTTTATTCTTTTAGATTCAATCTTTATAGCAAATATTCTGAGGAAAAATTATATTATGCTAAATAGGTATAACCTTATTTTTTTAGACCAATTTTTAGATGCGAGACTCTCACTTACTGGATTAAAACAAAATTATTAAACGAAATCTCTATAACCACATCCTAAAAAAAGATAACATCTAAACATTTACATCATACTTGCTAATAAAGTATTAGATAGAATTGATATATAAACAGATTAAAAATAGTTATAAATTAGAATCATTTAATAATAGTTATATAAACAATAATAGTATAGAAATTAGATTAGATGATAATAGAAGAGAATTTGTGACTATTTATCATGCTGGTTTGGATTAGATCATCATTAAAAGGATAATTCGAAAAATGAAAGTTTAAAACAATTTTTTGATTTAACATGTTAAAGCTGATAAATCTATTACCCAATGCAACAGTTATGCATTAAATAATCTGTTTCTATTAGATTTTTGCAAGAAATCACCATACAAATTGAAAAAAGTTTTTTGGCCCTCTACTCTCAGCCACATGTGTACATGGATATAATGTTAATATGGCTGTCGCTTAAAAAAAAGGCTTCAGAACACATTCAGTAAAAAGAAAAACTTCATTATGAAACAGATATCAGAAAACTCAATCACTTCGTATCATTATCAACTGAAAAGAAAACAGCGTCTCCTAACTACTTCAATCACCTTACCTACATCACATACGTTGAAAAATGAAAAATTGATCAGAGATTGCATTAAGATGTTTCATATCAAGTGGAATTAGTCAATCTAGCAGCGGTCTGTGCAAATTTCATGACATCTAAATTTTATACCGATGGTTCTCTAATTAATCCTACTTCATAAAATTGTAGGCCACGAAGTCATGTTGCGCCTCTAATACTGCGTAAATCACACAGTATGTAACGAATGTAAAAAATGTAAAAATGTAAAATATTGTATTAAATAATTAATATTTTGAATTACATATATGAACCCGTCGTCATTAGGAGAATTATATACTTTTATAGACACGTGGTTTTCACCCAATTCAAAACAGATACTAGGCCAGATTTATGAATTTAATTGTTCTAAATTTGGCCTATTGTCAAAAAAAGCGCATTCATCTACATCATCGGAAATGTTTTCATCTTGAATATATTTGTATGACCATTATCATTGTAACAATTGTAAAGTTTTAGATGCATTATACAAATTTGGCTAATCCTTACACGATATCATTCAACAAATATTGCCAATATAGAGAACGTCATGTAATACGTCAGTGAGCGGCTCTTTATTTTATTTTAATTTTTTTTTTTTTATTTTAATTTAATTTAATTTATTTTAGTTTTAGTTTTTTTTTTTTTTTTTTTTTTACATATAAAGACGTAAAAAACCAAGATTGACGAGAATTTTAATATGGCCAACAAGTTAAGTAGTTAATTAATTAATTAATTAATTGAATTATGAAAGAGGAATTAATTGCACATCGCCATGCTTTGCATTACATCTAGATAAGATTAAAGGATTTTTGATCTTAAAAGTGAATTGGAATCAATTTGGTTGATAAAGAAATTAGTAATTAATTAACAATTAAAAAGGTTATGATAGATTCGAAATCCTTTGATCTATGTACAATATATACATGGACACAGAAATGTCAAAGCGCCCATTTATATTTACTCTTAATACGATTTTATCAAATTTTTTGAGCGAGGAAATCACACGATGAATTGCGCCATTGTTGATCGAACGTGGCTAATCGGTCAAGGACCGATATAATTTCAAATTAACCTTTTTTTTCTTTCGCATTCACAATGGGCAGATCACTAACCATCCATATATGGGAACGGAGATGGTAAAATTGATCAGCATCGGCAAAATTCCTTGCCGATTAACCTTCTCTACCACTTTCGAACTTCTTCTTTTCTTTTCATTTACATTATTTCACAATGACAGATACTAAGGCACTTTAGTTTCATAAGAGCCAATCTTTTTCTATAATTAGAATGGGGTATCGAAGATAAACGATAAAAAGATAAAAAGGGTAGAATCATGCTTAAAACTTTTTTTCTCGTCATTAACAAAAGCGTTAAAAAACTAGGACACTTCCCTCTTTGAATAGAACCGCCGACAAATTCCGATAGAATACCTCCTTATATAACAGGAAAAGTCTATATTTCCAGATCAGGATCAACTAATTTTTGCTTAATAATATTGAGATTGCGCGTATTAATTTAATTAGGTTATTTGCATTTCAGTTTACGTTTATTTAGGTCAGTTATACGAGAAAAAAAATTCTTTACAAACCATGCGTCTCGTATTTTTTTTTTCATCTGTTTTGGTTCATGAACCAATCAAAGCTAAAATCGTTTTCGGAATGTTAATTCATTTTAGCCCAACTGGGATAACAAATTTTTGATAATTAATTGTTACAAGTTGACCAAGAGAGATAAATCTTAAACAGGAATCAGGTATAAATAAGATAGCTTTATTCTTTTTCCCATTATTCATCTAAAACATATTTCAAAGGATAAAAGAAAATTCAAATATAAACATTCAAAATAAAATAAAAGTTATAACCAAGTGCGTTAATAAAAAAAAAAAAAATTTGAGATCATGGAATATTCAATCGATGAGTCGTTACAAATGATCATTGAACAAAGAAGAGAATTACGCATTCAACGTATTGATGCGTTATTAAAAGAATTCGATACATTAGAAACCATGATTGACATGAATCAATCCTATGTTAACTTGTGTTATAAATATGAACAAATCTTCTCTCTTTGGGTTTACGTTCATAAGGATTTTCAACCTGATGAATTATCGAAGCAAGAAGCCATGATATGGCGTTTAATGCCCGCTATCTTATTATGTTATAAACATTATTTAATTAAAAAACGTGAAAATATGGATAAAGATGGTATAAATATGAGCGATAGACCTGTTTACAATTTGCGTTCACTTCCTAAATCATCTGCTCGATCCGATTTAGCGTTAATTCGTCAGATTGGTACTAAAATTTTAAGACTTTTACGACTAAAGAAAAAAGATTCTTCCAAAGAATCGATGACAAATTTTGAGAAAATCCGATTATCAATCAAGTTTGAAAATAAACTTCAAAAACTTTCGGAAAATGAATTAAAATTAGAATGTAAATCCTTGGTGAAAAAATTTCGTAAAGCTACCGCACAATTTATTCATCGTCACTCTACCAACGAGCTTCAATTAATTCCTAATAAGAAAAAGCAAAAATGGATTGAACAAGTTAAAAAATTAGTAACTGAAATCGAAAAACCTTCTATTATTGATAATGATGTCAAACATAACCTTGGTGATGAAGATTCAAGAATTCAAACGGAAGACAACCCTACGGAGGATGTGATTGAAGACGAGAGAATTAACGAAATTGAAATAAGCAGCAAGGTATAACAAAAAAAGTATGGCCTTTTTTTTTATAAATTAATCAATTAAATTAAGCTAAAATAACATTAATTTAACATATACATAGATTCGTCAACAATTAAAAATTGAGAAATTGATTAGAAACATCGTTAATAGCATCGATCGTTATACATTAATAATATGAAAAAATTATAGTTGTTCATTTTGAAAAAAATATATTCTACGAAATTCCATTGAGCGTGAACAGTAATCGAAATCCAAAAACCGCTTAAATTATTTTATTTATTTTATTAAATTAGATTTCACATATGTAACGTAGTCCAATTTTATTTTAATATTCAAATTAAAATAATATTAGAATGGTATGGATTTAATTAATTTAAAAATTAGAAATTCTTCCAAGACACAAAATTATGACTTTATCTTCCATGTAATTTATATTTCTATAGACATAAGCAATTTAATCCATTATTTATTATTTAAAATAAAAATTTATCAAGTTTAAAAATTACATAACTTTTTTCTGTTATATAACGAGAAAAAGAGATATAAACGTTATTTATTAAAACAAATTTAAAAATACTAATTTCATCCGTAAAGCTTTTGATGTTGAACAATCATACATTCTTTAAGTACGCAGAATTGAAAGTCTTTTAGAAAATTTCCGTTACCGAAATTAGGTGTCCACGTGACCAAATCATTATGTGACGGGTTTTAAATTGCGTTAAATATAGTAATAGACTTCATGTATTGTTAATTCGCGATCACATGATATCAGTCGATACGTATATAACTACCGCTACTGAGATAGTGAATCTGCTATTTTATGACAAATAAATAAGAAAATGCTCTGATTACATTTTGATAAAATGAGAACGATTCTTTTTTGGATAATTGGGCAAGGGATTGGAAGTCTAGATGTGATATAAATTTTTGAATTTGATAGAATTTATACCGTATGTTTTGATTTAATTTCAAAATATTTGTAAATTTTTGCAGTTTCTTTTAATTACAAGCATTAATGTATTAGATAAATCTAATCATGTGATTTTATTGGACTTTATATACAAAGGTAATCTAAACGTTACACATGAATTTTTTGGGAGTTGTAACCCATCAAAAATATGTCATAAATATTTTATATTAATTTGTAAAAAGCGAAAATGATATTTATTTTTATTAAGTAGCTCATTAAAATATTATAACAGACAAGTTTAATAATAAATTTGTAAAATAATTCTTTGTAGTTTTCTTGGGACTTTTAGGACCTCATGTGAAATACCAATTATTTATCCCTATCTAAAATCGTTCATTCGATAATTAGATGATCGATGATCCGTCGATCACTCGGTATAACAGTTGTCGAAGAAACAATTCGATTTGATGATAATTCTGGACTAATATCAACTTCGGATTTACGAAGAGTTTTTTGACGATACCAATACGCGCAGCATACTAATAAAAACAGACCCAATACACTTCCAACAATTGAACCGGTGATAATTCCTTTCTTCATCCCTACGTTATTTTGATTTTCATTAGGATTAGATTTAGATTTTCCATTACTCGAATTAGGTGAACTTCCAGGTGTAAATGGCAGGCCGCGTATTGGTTGCATAAAATTTGATAAAGTATTATCGTTATCATCATAACTAACGTCAGATATTGATATTCCTCCGAGTGATTTAGCCATTGCAAATTCTAATTTATTACGTAATGAACTAACATCTTCATAAGATACATACAAAAACTGGAAATCAAGTTCAGCATTGCTATATAGCCATGGAGTACCAGAATTATCTGTTGGTTCAAATTTACGTGTCCAATTAGGATTACTCGTAGCACAAAATCCAAGTGATGAATTTAGAACGGTATTTGAAAGATTTCTCCATGGCCATGAATAGAGATTAGAATTGTTTTCAGGACAAAAATCTCTGATTGGTTGGATTTGATAATTTAGCTTGTTAAAATCATAGAAAGAAGCAGATTTTGGAAACGTAACAAATTGAGTTTGTTTAATAGCTTCATTAGGTACCATTTGAATGGTATTCCCAAAATCTACACCCATAATTATTTGGCTACTATTGATTCCAACGCCAATCCACGCTGAATATGCAATTTGGCATGCATCTAATGGAGAATTTGGATATGAATTAAAGTTGTTATTGTCTGGCGCTTTTAAATTTTGATATATACTATTATGATAAGTTTCAATGTTAAGATAATCAATTTCTTTTAAATTTCCAATTACATCTCTACCAACAGTCAACATTAATGTTTTTCCATTCAATTCTTCTCGAAGGTCTTTTAAAAATGTAATGAATCTTTCATCATTATTTTTATCCCATATGAAATGGTTAGGCTCAGGATTTTTAGGACTTTTACATATATTTCCCCTCTTTCCAGGATATTCAATGTCTATACCATCTAATTTATAATCGGTTATAGTTTTAGTTGCATCGTTAATAATTCTTTGATATTCTTCATCAGCTTGCCCTTGCGGCCATTTACCAATGTCATAATTTCTTAATGAAAGAAGAATCTACATTATGATTATTAAAACTGTTAATCAGAAATAAATAATTTAATGCTAAATATTAATAAAATTCTTACTTGAGTATTTGCTTTAGCACGATCTTTATCCGTAACCAAATCTTTTATTAGGTTTAATTTAACACTAACATCATTTGCTGAACCTCCTGGACGAAAAATAGTATAATATTTTCCTCCATTTGCTTCATTTGGATATGCTAAATTTCAAAATGTAGTTTGTAAGTAATCCATTCCAATTTACGATATGGAAGGAAAAAGAAGTTTTTATTCTTACCAATAACATTTATATAATCATAGTTATCCCATTGAATTTTTGGTATTTTTGATTGACTAAAAAGTTGGACATATCCTATCGTTTTTTGCTTATTTGCTTCCTCCACTCGCGCTAAAGGTTCTACTATACAATTGCTAGCTATAGTATCTTCCTGTGCTAACGTTATTAACGCTACTGATAATAGACCATAAAAGATAAAGCTCGCAAACTTATTGAAAGGCAAGATTGAATATATTTTTAACATATTTATTTAACTGTATTTTTAATGCCTTTTTTTTTTTTTTTATCCTTTTAAGTAAAATTCAAAAATCATAAATGGAACGTTAAACGAAGAGGCTTGCTTGTATGTTTGGTACATAAAACGATCTAACCTTATTAATTAATTTAACAGGAGGTTGGAATTTGATCAATTTTTTGAGAGATGTGTTACAGGACATGTCGGTATATGCCCGAAAAAAATCAAATTACTGTATGGCATTAACTGAATTACTTCGTCCTCATTCAAACGGAATAAATATATGCAATTTATAATAAGAATGTTGCCGTAGATAAATCTTGCAAAAATATAAATTCTATGCATTTTCTTTCGTTATAACAGCGTCGTTTCTTTATTTTTGCATGGCGCAGCATCACATATTATTATTTGTTTTTTGTTAATTCAACTATAACTCACGATTGCACAACTACGACTAATACTCTAATTTAATGTAATTCCAAAAGGATAGGCTTTTTTTTTTTTTTTAATTATAGACCTTATTCTTTGCGAATGTATAACGCAAAGGATTGTGTAAAAGAAGAAATGAAGTATATTTAATAATGAAAGAAAACAATTGGGGAGGTTGAAAGTTTGTCGACTTGTGAACATTTGATATTAAAAAAAAAAAAAAAAAAAAAAAAAGCATCTAATTTTTTTTTTTTTAAAAAAAATGACAGTATGATAATCAGACAAAAGCTGATATTAGACAGATTTATTATAATCCATGTTTATACATATTTACTGATTTATCATGTTAATTATAAAGCTAAATAATTTTCGTCTTCACACAACTTTAAGGAACACCCATTATCTTATTATTTATTAAATAAGGAATTTAAAATATCCACCCGAAGAAATTTCAAATGGTGTTGTAGCTAGGGATCGGTCGGTCTCAGACCGGTTAATCGGTCCTTGTGGTCCACTGTCCATATTCTAAACTATGACTGTGCAGATTTGTTAGAAAAATTCAAAAAAAAAAATATTTAACCAAATTTCACCTGATATAAACATTTTTAATAATCAATTTATTTAACTAGGCAACAGGAAGTCCGAAGCGTTGATTAAAAAATATCACTATAAATTATTTGATCAACCGTAATACAGTGAATTATTTGGTAGATCACACATGGTTTCAGCTCTAACCGAAAGTATCCTACGCTTACGCTTCGGACAAATATGTATAAAACAAAACGTTTATTGGTTTAGGGTTAGGGTCAACTTAGAGCCAATTTTAGTTTTTTTTTTTTTACAGACGACGCTCGTCCAGACCGTCATTTTCCCCCGTATCTCCAAAACCGACCATGCTCCAAACGTTGGGGACTAATTAAATCAAACCTATGTTATCCATATAATTTCAGATTTTTGTAATAACCGTAAATTTATGAATTTGATAGATATAATTGGATGATAAAAATTACAAATTTTTAAAGTTCGATAACATTCAAACAAATAAAAGTTATATCATAAATCAATGTGAAACTTCTCTTTTATGAAAATCCCAAAGAAAAAAATTTTTTTTCTAGAGAGCTGTGCCTGAAAATATCATTTTATTAATTTATTTTGTAATGGGAAATATTTTCTTAGAAAAAGAATATTTTCGCAGAATTTGGAAAAAAAGTAACAAGATATGGAGGTTTTAAAGTGAGTTAAAATTAGTAAGAGACTTCTTATTTTAAAATAAATTTTAAATTTTATATGGAACTACACATATAATATATTTGATTTAATGAGTCCAATGCAACTTGATAAAATTCCAAGACTTTTAGGACCTAATATACCTTTTCTAACAAAAGTCATAATAATAATTGGTCATATGTGTTCAATCGCCTATACATTCTTTGTTGAATAAAGAAATAGAACAAATAACTGCAAAAGAAATTCGTTTTTTTTGCAAAATAAGACGATTCAACATACCTAAATATACTATTTAATATTAGTATTTAGGTCTGATATCACTAAGAGCAGTGAAATACCAATTATGATATACCTAAAATCGTTTTAATAAAGTTCATTCGATAATTAGATGATCGATGATCCGTCGATCACTTGGTATAACAGTTGTCGAAGAAACAATTCGATTTGATGATAATTCTGGATTAATATCAACTTCGGTTTTACGAAGAGTTTTTTGACGATACCAATACGCGCAACTTACTAATAAAAACAGACCCAATACACTTCCAACAATTGAACCAGTGATAATTCCTTTCTTAATTCCTACGTTATTATTAGGATTAGATTTATTATCTGATCCATTCGATGGAGATGAACTTCCAACTGTTGATTTACCTCGTATTGGCTGCATAAAACTTAATAAATTGTTCTTATCATCATCAAAAGTAACATCAGATATAGAAATTCCTCCGACTGAATTATTCTTGGCAAATTCTAACTTCAAACTTAATGAAACAAAATCTTCATAAGATACATACAAATAATTATTAGGAATAATATCAGGATTAAAAGCGCTATATAACCATGGTGTCTTAGATTCATCAACCTGGCCAAAATTACGCGTCCATTTAAGTTGAATATTATTATTAATAATATTACAATATCCGGATTTTGGATCTAGAGTAGAATTTGAAAGATGTTTCCATGACCATGAATATAGTTTCATTTGATTAGAATCATCACCGCAAGGATCTTTGATTAATTTGGTTTGTGCCTCTAAACCTAGACTTTTAACATCAAAAACAACATTTTTAGGAAACGCAACAGTTTGAGATTGTTCAATTGTTTTGGCATTATCAAATATCATTTGAATAGTGTTCCCAAAATCTACGCCCATAATTATTTTTTTACTATCAATTCCAGCCTTACTCCAATTTTCATATGCCAATCTGAATATATTCAGTGGAGAATTTGGATATGATCTATAGTTATCGTCTGGCCCATTTAAATTTTGATAAAAACTATTGTGATAAGTTTCTATGTTAAGAAAATCAATTTCATTTTTTAAATTTCCAATTATATCTCTACCAACTGTTAACATAAGTATTTTTGAACCTTCCATTTTAATCAATTCCCCTCGAAGTCTTGTTAAAAAATTAATGAATTTGCCATCATTTTCTTTATCCCATATAGGATCAGGTCTACATAAACTTCCTCTCATTCCAGGATATTCAATGTCTATACCGTCTAAACCATGATTTTTTATAGTTAAAATTGTTTCGGTAATAATTTTTTGATAATCGCCATCAATTTGCTGTCCTTGCTGCCCTTGTTGCTCGAGCTGCCCTTGAGGCCATTTACCAACGTCATAATCTCTTATTGAAAGAAGAATCTATATTATAATAATAATTATTAAAATGTTATCATACTAATAATTGAATACTAAATAATTTTAATATAATTATAATGCTTACTTTAGTAGATGAATTAGCTTTATCTCTAACCAAATCATCTATGAGTTTTAATTTGCTCACATCTTTTGGACGGAAAATATCATTCCAATCTCCTCCTCTGTCTTGTGGGTATGCTAAGTTTCAAATTCGTAGTTATTTTAAGTAATCCATTCTAATTTGTGCGAAACATACACAAAATGTAGAAGAAAAAGTTTTCTCATATTCTTACCAATAACATTTATAAAATCATAATAGCTCCATGGAATGTTTGGTCTTTTTGGTTGACTTGTGTCAAACAGTTGAACATATCCTATCGTTATCTGCTTATTCTCTACCGGAACTGGCTCTAAAGGTACTATACAATTGCTAGCTATAGTATCTTGTGCTAACGTTATTAACGCTACTGATAATAGACCATAAAAGATAAAACCCGCAAACTTGTTGAAAGGCAAGATTGAATATATTTTTAACATATTTATTTAACTGTATTTTTAATGCTTTTTTTTTTATCCTTTTAAGTAAAATTCAAAAATTAATCATGAAACGTTAAACAAAGAAGCTTGCCTGTATGTTTGGTACATAAAACGATCTAACCTTATTAATTATGAATTTAACAGGAGGTTGGAATTTGATTCAATTTTTGAAAGATGTGTTACAGGACATGTCGGTATATGCCCGAAAAATTAAATTACTGTATGACATTAATATACGCAATTTGTAATAAAATTGTTGCCGTAGATAAATCTTGCAGAAATATAAATTCTATGCATTTACTTTCGTTACAACAGCATCATTTCTTTATAATTTTTATATGGTCACTTTGGTTTATATTAATTCAATTATAATTCACGGTTGCACACTAGGACTAATACTCTAATTTTGTGTAATTCCAAGGGATAGGCTTTTTTTTATAATAGACTTTATTCTAGGCGAATGTATAATGCAAAGGTTTGTGTAAAAAAATGAAGAATTTTTATTAATGAAAGAAAACAAAACAGGGGCCTGTCTAAAGCGGAGTTGTTTTGGCCGGCGTTACGGTATTAAGAAATTAAATTTGCCAAGTTCCCGAAAATGTGGAGGGATGTGATAAAGGTGACAAATGATTTACATTGATCACGTGATTAATTCCGCTTTAGGCATCTAGTTATTTATTTATAGAAAAAAAAGGTGGCATACAGTATAACAATAATCAGACAAAAGCTGATATTAGATTCAAACGTACAGATTTAATACAATGTTTTAATTAAATAATACAATCATCTCCATCTTCGCAAAAGTTAAGGAAAACCCATTTTCTTATTATTTATTAAAAAAAGAATTTAAAATATCCACCCGAAGAAATGTTAAATTTGTCGTAGCCCAAACGTGATTATGTATTTCGGACTTCCAAATTTGAAATTTTCTATTTGTATCAACCATGAAAATATTAGGACTCCATTCTTACCATTTTCGTAATGTTAATGTTTATTTGAATTCGCTTATTAAGAATGCTGGTGTTTGGGCATAAAATCTGCTTGTATCATGTGACTTTATAATTTATTAAATTTTCACCCGTATCAACCCTCTCAAAAATTATTAGAATCAGCTTAAGGTCATATATCTAAAGTAATTTGGGATTTGGTATCGTATCTGTTATTCTACAAACGTGCTAGTTTGGGACATGGTCTGTCATGACCAAGTTTGATTTGGATACGATCAAATTTCGGACATGGGTATCCCAAATCGAAAACTTCCGATTTTGGAAGTCCGAAATTCCGATAATCACGAGAATTTTCTAAGTATTTCTAATATAAATTTAATGAATTTTATTTATAATTAAATTACAATTTAAATATCTCCAAGATCATGGTTAGAATCGCATAACTCCAGCGATAGTAACACCCCAACCATTTAGTATAAAAAATTATGATGTAACATTATTATTGATAAGTTATATAATTACAAAATACAGAATATGATATTATTTTGTCGCATATTTAAACGATACTTGTAGAAGAAGGCTAGGTATCTTCAAAATTTTTTAATCTACCGAAAAAAAAAGAAGAGTATTTCAAATTAAAATGTTACGATGGAATTTAATCCAAACATCTTTATGAAAAAAAATTTCTCCTTTCAAATGATCCTTCCATTAATTAATTCTTTAATTCAATGAATAAATAATATTTGGCATCTTCTTTATCCTTTTCACATTCCAAAGTATCAGCAGCTTTAATATCACCAGAAAATAAATACTTCACAATTTTACCAATTAAATAATGTTGAATAAAATAAATATTACATTGATTTAATAGCGCATGTTTCTTTTTAAATTTCTTACAATATTTCAGGAAAAGATTTAAATTTATAGAAGGAGGCACCGTTGGATCTAATTGCACACCGTTAAAAAAATCTTCATATAATTGACAAGTTTTTTGTTTATTTAAACAGACCGTATATAAATTTGGATTTTTCTCACAAGCATGATGATAATCATATTGATGCTTCAGATCTTGTAATGAAGATACTGCTACAACAAAATCCAAATATTTCTCCATCAAAGCGCATCTTGTATCGCTTGAAAGTTTTTTGAACGGTAAATCCCCTTTGTATTGTAATAAATTATCCAAAATTAATTTAGATGATTCTTTATAGACGCATTTAAACCCATACCTGTCAGCCAACACCAATGAAATGAGTGGGTTTTCTTGAAAATTCGCTTTCAAAAAATTATCAGCCGCTTCAATCACCATATTGAATTCGTATTTATCAGCTAATTGACAAAATTCCGTAACGTTTTTCCATGTAATAGGTGTAAAGGTGTGTGGGTATAAATATGCTAATAAATTTTCAAATGTTGTTGATGATGTATCAGTTAAAGTTAAACTCGGTAATTCTTCCTCTGAGGATGATGTAGCGCATGTGAACATATCACGAAATACTTTTGATGCTATAGATAAAATATTTTTATGTATTCGAAATGTCACATCTTGCACCGTTATTAGGATATCACCATCTTCATAATAATGTACTGTATTTTGATTTTTTTGCTTCATTTTTGTAATAGAAAATGGAGAGGAAAAAAATAATTTTTTTTTTCCTAAACGACGGAAACTTATAGCATACGATCTGCATTGAAATTATTAATTTAGCGGCGCAGTATCTCTAGATTGGGTAAATACACAATATTTTTGCTTCATTTTGTACGAATAAAAGGGAGGGGCGGATTGTCTCTAACGTAATAAACTTTTTTAATTTGGGCGTGTTAAATTTAATCTAACGCATGCTTGCCTATAAATCATTTCTACGCTTTTTGGATAGGTATGAAATGTTAATTTGATCACGTGATTAATCACATAGTCATGGTAGATCTCGGATCCCAAGACCAATGACATGTGAAATAATTTTTTTGCGCTAGCCGTTAATGTCAAATTTTCCCGATTCCAAAATTGTGTCATTTTTTTTTATCCCGTTTTAGGTTTTATGAGGTTTATTAGTTCATAGAATGGTGATTTCATTGATTAGAAAATTAACTTTGAATAATAAAATAATTTGATGTGACTAGGAGAGTTTTTTATATATCTCGTCAGATATAAATTGCACAATATATATTTAATTTCATCATCTTTCCTCAATCAAACGTCCAAATTTCTATTACACCATCTGTAGAATAGTGAATTCAAATTATTATAGTAGATTTTCATACAACTAAATTTCTAATATATTATTGTAGACCTTCTAAGTCGACTCAACCTGCCGCTCTCGTATAAAAATTAGCTGCCATATTAAATCTTAATATTTAACAAAGATTTAATTTGATTGTAAATTATCTATTTTATCACTATGTAAACTTGAACATACATAAACAATACCTGTGATTTATTTAATGCATTACCAACAAAAAATATTTCGTTGTATTAAAAATGTTATGATTTTCCATTTGAAAATTGGATATTCGAATATTCTTTTGCAAAATAAATGTTTTTGATATTCGAATATCAAAAATAATGTTTTTATTATCGATTTCATAAAAATGATATAATTAATTACTTGAACGGGATCCCTTCAAATGATATGGGAGGTTTGCTAACAGCCCTAGCGTCGCCTAGAAAAAATGGTAGCCGTATTTTATTTGCCGGGTCACATATACTTATTAGGGGTGACATATAATTGTGAAAATTAGCATTTTTCCCTCAATAATTTCTAAGTCCCCAGAATACTTAGTAAATTGAAGAACGGCTGGGATGTGACGCGATGTGACAAATTTGCTAACCCCTTAAACTAATACTAATTCTACCCTAATCCTAATCCTAATCCAAACCCTAACTTTAATACTAACCCTAATAATAAATACCCGGCAAATAAAATCCGGCTACCATTTTTTCTAGGCGACGCTAGGTAAGTTGAGGTTTGCTATTAAAATCACGTTACGGATCATATGATTTACTATGTTCGTAACTCGATTTCATCCCAACATGTTGAAAATGATCGTTACATGATTAGGGATGGACCGGTCCTTGCGATCGGTCCGGACCGGTTTAGAACAAACTAAAAAAACTGATGCATGTGATGCAAAATTGAACATCGGATTTTGATTGGCTGATTTTAAGTACACCAGATATATACATTTTTGATAATCAATTTATTCCAATATTGAAATAATTGTATAAATTTAATAAAGCAATTGTTTATACGTTTAACAAAGCGATTACTGCGCCTTCTTAATCTCGTTATCCATTTTGTACGTTATCATTCAGTAAATCAGTAAAAGTTAATAATATAAGTTAAAAAACGACACAAGAACCGAACTTATGAATCGGTCCAGAATGAAAAATAGAATAAATTAGGACCAGGACCGACTCAAGACCGGTCCCGGACTTTTGGGACCGGACCGTTCCAACCAACCCTAAGTAAGCGAAATGTATAAATTATTTATATTCAATTTGGCTCTTTTTTTTTTTAAAAAAAAAGAAAATTATATACGTACGAAACATTTGATTTTATTGGTACTGGCAAAATTAATTCACTTTATATTACTTCATTTTTACTAAAATCTAACCACTATAGAGACCTCTCTAAATACACACTCCTTGGGACTGGGCTTGAGTGTGTATTCAAGGAGGGAGTGCATTTTGAGGACTATAGGATTTTTTTTTTTTATAAGAAAATATATTGAAACACAGCTAAATAGATCAACCGCAGAGTATTAATTACTTTATTTACACACATTAACAAATATACTAAAATTATCCTAATCTTTGAAGTACAAAATGTGCACGTATTCTCCAAACATTTATTGCTGCACTTGAGCTTATGATTGATTGCTTAGTCTAGATTTTCACTAATTTCTTCATCAGATCTCTTTTTGAACGTTTCTACAGTTCTGTAATAATTTTACCATCCTCATAGACATTTGGCTTCTATTTTGTGACTTGAGAAATTACAAATAAGGAACAACCTCTATGCTTTCTAAATCAAATTCCCAAAGCCATTCTTGAAAAGGATTAGCATCCAAGCCTTGGTATTACTCCGAAAAGTCATTTGTAGATTGGAGATATTAACATTCTTACATCACCATAGCCTTGCATATATTTCAGTTATTAGAGACTTCAACTTATGAGATCCATTGAAATTCATCACACACAAAAAGAAACTCTTTGTCTTTCTTAGATTTTGCAAGGCATTGTGAGACTAGTGAATGGTCTATTTCTAATCAATAAAAAAGAGCAGTTTCGTCCAAATCATATATTCGTTCAAATGGATAGTAGGCGCACATATTTTATAATAATGGAAGGGTTTTCGTCGACTGAACCCGCCTCTCTATGAAGTTTCTCTCGAATTCCATTACATTTCTTAAACTTATGAAACCAGCCTGAAGAATTCTGCATTACACCTTTAGGAACTTCTAATCCACTGGTAAGTTTCTTGGCTTTCCCAATAAGTTTTGCATCACTTAAGACTATTCGATATCGATAAATTAACATAAAAGCAAGTTCAAATTTGGAAATAATGACAGATCTATTTCTTTTTTTGGGATTGGCAATTTTAGTGATAAGCCTGGTTTTCAAAATTTAGATTCATGAACTCTAACATTCCATTTCTGTTCAATATAATTTATGTATTTAATGAGACATCATATTATCATAAGCATGAAGGCAGGCAAAGCACGCGTTTTTGAGTATTAATTAGATTGTTCTTTGTTTGGGAGGTATTACTATTGAATTTATTTTTTATAAAAATGGTTAACTTATTCATTCTTCTTTCCTGATGAGACAAACTTCTTTTATGTATTAAAAAAAAAATAAAATACTAATTATTATTATTTTGGTCAATCCGTTCATTAACTTATTATGAAGTCACGTGACGGTACAATATTTACATATAACGAGACAAATAAAAATATTGTACATGAAGAATATAGAGAGTGCATATATTTCCCAAGTTCTAAACCTGGAGCCCGGGTTCAAAAGTGCATATAAGGAGGGTTTAAAAGAGGATGCATTTAGAGAGATCTCTCTGTATAAAGCTGAAGAAATTCAATTATAAAGGTCCTACATTTATTGTACTTAATAATTCTCTCGAGGAAAATGATTGGTAATTAAAAATCTATAGTTCATCCAAATATCACAAATGCCAATTCGTAAAAAAGTGTTGTATCAGAAAGTCACGTCAACTATCGAATTGGAATATTACTCTGAAAAACGGCATTGTTACCTCAAGCTCGACGTGTCAGACTATTAAGGTTCTAGAAGTTGATACAATTATTAACCCTCATTCGTATTATTCGTATTTGAAGTTAAAGATGCCTTAATAAAATCAAAGGCCTGTCGGAACCTAATTTAATGTGTCACTTAAAATGTCGAGACCTTTTTTATAGAAGCTGATTTTACTTTGGAATTTATCCAGAGTCCAAAGTCGACCCTCTCAAAAGAAATCACGAGCATTCAAAAAAAATAAGTAAATGGCATTACATACTTGACTGACGAACTATTAAAGGCTTTGAGATGAACAATTTCATAACCATTGATTATTAATCAAATTTTAATAAAATATTTGTTTCTTAGAAAGCTCTTTTGTTCTATTAGATTAATTCATATTTAAAATAAAATTTTCAGTTATTAAAATCTTCGGGCTTCAATGCATATTGATAGATTATATTAAAAAGTATATCATTTAAAATTGTCAGTTAAAACTCATACAAATCACTTCATTTGAGAAATTTTTTTTTAAAGTCAGGCGATCTCCATTAGAGAATTTTTTTTTATATAATAAATACTTTGAAAGACTAAAAAAATTTAATGTTTAATTATAACTGAACATTTAAAGAAATAGTTGTTGTAACTAATTATAACGAATATAACAAAGCATTAAATAATCCGAATAATCCTGACAGTCGAATTTTAACTTTCCAATAGAATCTAAATTTTGATTGAAAATCACGTGGTTCGTCATTTTTGGCGGTCAATCATACTTTCAATCGAAATTGAACACATCGAAGAGATAAGTTATATTCACTATAATTGCTTTTGGGAAAACAAATAGCAGTTAAACTAAATATTAATAATTTCATGGCAAATGACTAAATTAAATGTAGATAAGGAAAACCACATTTTAAAACCAAATTTAATAAATTATGATCTTTGAAAGCAACCCTACGATAAATTACAGGATTTTAATAGAATATTTATGAAATGCCAAAAGAAATCTATTCTTAAAATAATATACAAAATAATTTGATATAAAAAAAAATGAAAAAAAAAAAAATTATTACTTACACTTTACAATCATAAAATTATATTTTAACAAATATTCATTTTTTATTTTAATGTTTAGAAACCTTTATGCAATATTATAAAGGTTAAACATTATATAAAAGACATAACGTATAGAAAATAATTGATATATTTCTATACAAAGATTACTTTTCTTCAACTATGGAATTTTTAGGTTCACCGTCTTTAATTAAATCATCGACGTTTGCTAATTGAATATGACCTTTTTGATTTAAAAGGATAGAGGAAAATTTTAAGATTCTATAAAATCATTTAACATTCATTAAATGAACTCTTTAAAAGTTCAACACCATATTTTATAAGTCTTTTTTTTTTAAAAAAAAAATCGCATGAATCGATCCAATGTATTTTGCAATTAAATAGAAATAAGCACATCCATTATTTGCGAGTCAGGAACTAAAATAGAGAAACCAAAGGTTAAAAGATAAACATGAGTCAAATATCAATTTCATAACCACATTACCTTCCGAGTCTTCAATTTGAACTCCTGTGGAATTAATTGGTTTAGGAAGATTATCAAAGCTTAAAAAGCGACTGGTATAAATTGCTTGAGGATGGTATGCCGTTTCAGTTGATTCTTGTGGATCGATTTCATCCGCGTTAAGAAATTCTTTGGCAGTTTCCGATTCTTCTTTATACAATAGTTGCATGTACCAATCATTAATTATTTTACGTAAATCTTGGGCAGAAGGTCTATTTTCTGGATCAGCATCAAGACATTTATCAACCAAATCAATATAACATTTAGGTGTTCCTTTGGCAACTCTAGGTCTCAAACCATTACAAATGGCCAGGGCAAGCTTTCCATCATGAGGTACATTTCCATATGGAGGTCTTCCAGTCGATATCTCTATCATGATGATACCAAAACTATAAACGTTACTTGCAAAGGTGTATGGTTTTTTATCCAATATTTCCAATGCTATATAAGGAAGGACTCCACATACATTCGTGGAGGTAGAAGAACTGGGATTGGGATCGTTAATTAGCTGTGAAAGTCCTATATCAGATATTTTCGGTCCAAAATGGTCGGCTCCTGATAGCAGTATGTTTCCACTATGTAAATCTTTATGAACGTAATTTAATTTATGAATCTCGGAAAGATCATTTGAGATTTTATTTAGCAATTTTAATTTGCTTTCCCAATTTAAGTTAAAAGTTTTTAAATAACTTCTCAGGTTTCCGTATTCTGCATATTCTATAACCATCATAAATTCTTCAATTACAGGAGTTTTTGTTATTCCATAAATCTTTAAAAACAGAACATCAGGGGAACTACATTTATGACGTATAGTTAACTGAATAGAAAACGATCAATTTTAAAAATTAAATTAATAAATTAAAATAATAATCCTTTTTAATAAATCATCATAACTTTACCTCGTTGATGAAAGCTTTCATTACATTTTTTGGATTTGTAACTTTTTTGAGTGCGACTGTAATGGGAGAGTGTTTTTTTTTGATTGTACCTCTAGTTTTTCCATCCAACCAAGTAGCAGTATGAACTCTCGCAAAACCTCCTTCACCGATAAGTTTGCCATCGATTAAATTGTCGAAAGGTATCCATTCCAAATTATCCCAATAATGTTCGGTCTTTAGTTGACTTTCATATATCAAGTTATCTATTTCAGCATTTCCGGTTCTCTTACCCTCCCTTAAGAATCGACCCGGATCACATTTATTACACCAGGAATAACCAGTATTCATTTGTTTACAATCAGAACATATCCCGTATAGTTTAAATCGTTCTTTCTCATCCTTAGACAACTCATTTAATTTCTTATAACATCCAATAGCTTTACTTTCTTTGAAAAATTGATTTGTATCACATTCACACCAATCACCCTCACATTTGCAATTGAAACCAAAGTCGTTTTGTTTATCATTTACTTTTTCTCCTTTATTCTTTTCATTTGATTGAATAAAATTTGATTGAATAAGATTTACTTCTTCTGTTTGATTATTTAAAATAAATTTAGACTTTATTTGGTTTACAATTTGATTCATTATTAATTGAGATATGAGATAGAATAGCATGAAATGATTTAAAAAAAAAAAAAATTATAATTGTCGAGTTTTATACCTTTAAAACCGTTGTAACCATAATTAGATAGAGCACATGTACAAAAATGCGCTTTGTTTGTGTTGTACTGGTTGATCACAAAATTCATTCGTTATTAGATAGAACTAGTAAAATCTAATTAATATGGAAAATTTAGTTAAAATTAAACAAATATGCATTGTTCCGAACATAAAAACTTAATTGCATCGCACATGATGTAATGACGACTTTAAATGTTATTTGCTGATCAATTTCAAAAAAACCAATTATTAAGTTAGGTTAGGTTTTTAGGTTGTTGATCATGTGCTTATATTTCAACGGGTCAAGTTTTTTAAAACTTTTGACGAAAGTAATTACAAACTTTTGTATGGTCCATAAATTTAGAGAATAATCCAAACTTTTGATAGTCATTAGGATTCATATTTACAAAAAATAAAGCAATACATATTTTGTAAAATAATAATAAATAATAAATTATAATAATAATGGAAATTGGTTGCGAAAACACTAATATAAATATATATCATTGTGTTGAAATCAACAAAAACATGTTATCATTGATATTTTAAAAATACGTGTTGGATACACTAGGGAAGATATCGACATCGAGCCGGAATGAATACACTTTTCATTGTAAAAATAAAAAAAAAATGCCAAGATAAATTTTATGGGTAAGGGCGCGATTTAAAAAAAAATTTATATATTTTTTTTTTTCTCAAAGAATTTTTCTCAAGATCATAGTTTTATTTAGAGAGAACAACGTCACCACGACGCAATCGTTCGCTCAAAAGCTACTTCATAAATATTAGCAAAAGATGAACTTTTAAAGAATGACAGAATGTTATATGGTTGCTGGTGTCGATAAAAATATTTTTATTCTAATAAATTTCAAAAGAAAAATTACAATCTTTAAAGAAAGCAGTCCAAATAAGGAAAATTATTCTATATAGAAAAACAATCATCTCCAGCTCATATTTTCAATCCTTTAATTCTATGAATAAATAATATCTAGCATTTTCTTTATCCTTTTCACATTCCAATGTATCAACAGCTTTTATATCACCAGAAAACAAGTATTTAACAATTTTACTGATTAAATAATTTTGAATAAAATAAATACTACATTGATTTAATTGTTCATTTTTCTTTTTGAATCTCCTGCAATATTCCAAGAAAAGGTTTAAATTTATCGAAGGGGATTTCGTTGGATCCAATTGCATACCATTAAAAAATTCTTCATATAATTGTGTAGTTTTTTGTTTATTTAAACAGACCGTATACAGATGCGGATTTTTCTCACAAGCGTGTTGATAATCATATTGATGCTTCAGATCTTGAAATGAGGATACAGCTAGAACGAAATCTAAATATTTTTCCATCAAAGCACACCTTGTATCGCTTGAAAGTTTTTTGAAATCTTGTTCCTTCTTATATTCCAATAAATTATCCAATATTAATTTTGACGTTTCCTTATAAATATATTTAAATCTATATCTATCAGCCATCACCAATGAAATGAGCGGTTTTTCTTGAAAATGCGCTTTCAAAAAATTATCCGCCGCTTCAATAACCATAACGAATTCGTATTTATCGGCCAAATGACAAAATTCTATAATGTTTTCCCATGTTATAGGTATAAATTTATGTGGATACAAATATGATAGTAAATTTTCGAATATTGTTGATGATGTATCGGTTAAAATTATACTCGGTATGTCTTCCTTTGAGGATATAGCGCATGTGAACATATCACGAAATACTTTTGAAGCTATGGATAAAATGTTTTTATGTATTCGAAATGTCACATCTTGCACCGTTACTAGAATATCACCATCTTCATAATAATGCACTGAACTATTCGAATTTTTTTGCGTCATCTTTTTTTATTTATTTTTTTTTTTTGTTTGTAAAATGTAAGAGGAGGAATGAATGTATGAAAAGAAAAAAAAAAAAAAAAATATAAATTTTTTTTTTGTTTTTATAATTTACAAAGTTGCACATCAAATGATTAGTAACTAATACATATGCCTTGTGTTTCAAAATGATCTGCATCGCATGCTCACATTAGCCGCAAATTGGTGCTAACCATTTTTCTAAAATTTTGTCCTCATAGAATGTATGTGCAAAGTAAAATCCTATTTTTATCCGATATTGATATTGGTAAAAAAGAACATTTAATTCTAGTGCCTATTATTCGATCCCGTTGTATTGGTTTGAAAGTTGATTGATCAATAAATATTAAGGGGTACCGCATAAGAACAATCAAAAATTTTTGTAAACGTCATTGTTTTTCTTTATTTGCGTTACTATTTTTTTTTTGTTTTTTTTTTTTTGCCGTATTAAAATACTGCGTCTCTTTGTTTGGGCAGGTTCGGCAACGTATAAATCAGGCAATCAAACTATGATCAGATAAATAAACCTTTTTTTGATTTTCTGGGAAATTAGAAGTTAACGTTAATTTAGCCATCGCTTTAACCTGTTTTGGCAACTTTTTTACTTTTATGATAACTAATAATGAGTAATAAATCTAACCTTTATTTTGTTGATCGCTTAACTTAGTTCAAGCTACAGATAAATTTATTATTTAGAACATTTAGAACTAAAGTTTTAAATAACATAATTTAAATAATCATCTTACACTTGAAAATATCAAACCATATAGTTTGTACAAAAATTTTAAGTTTTAGAATATTTAGATCTGTTTATTCTTAATCCAAACATTATGAAATACCTTTAAATAATTGGGAATAAAGAAATGAATAATTAGAAATGTTAATATCGTACTTTGAATATTTTAATGAATTGGCTAAAGTTTAAATTTGATCATAATCTTGTAAATTTGATAAATAAAAAAAAAAAAAAAATATGAAGAATTGGTTGTGTATCAAATATCCTAAATATAATTAAATTAAAAATAAATTTTTTGACTCTAATCGGAAAAATCTAGTAATTTAATGTTGTAATTTCAGTTTGAATTGCGTCATTCGATGTATATTGTCTTATATAAAATTTATATGTAATCATTTTTGCATCTTGTAAACGTGAAATAGTTTTTTTAGATAATTAATACGAGTTGATATCTCGAACGTTGTCCAAGTTGTTTATATATTGCAAAGGAATCCGTATTAATACTGTAACTTTAAATTGATGAGAGATTTATTACATGTTGCTTGTTGTCAACGTATGTCAACGTTTAAGTTTAAGTAATCAAATTTGAAGTAATATTCTATGATCGAATTTTTGATTTCTCACAACAAAAAAAAAAAAATATTATCTTTCAAATCAAAAAAAAAATTAGATCGAGGTAAAGTTCAAGACTGTATTTATTTCGCGACTAATATGCAATAATTACAATAATTTTATAAAAATCCACAAGTTTTATTCAATTCATCGTTCCTACTTTTATAAATTTCAATATAATAAATATTGGAGTGATAAAATAGATTTAAATAAGACAATCCAACGAAATTAATTTTCAGAAATGACACATTATATTATATATCTTAAATATTTAAAAAGGTCACTTCATTCATGTATCTTGGTTGACCGGTGTCGTGAATAATTTTTTATTGCCATCTTTAAAAATGTTTACGTTTTTTTTTGTTCTTTTGAATTAAAACTTAAACTCCTATCGACTCAAATTGCATTCAACGATCCTCTTTAATGTTCAAAATTCATAACTTTTTCGAAATAGGTCTGGACAATAAATAAATCAATTATTAAGAATAGTAGTAATGCTTCTTTAAATAATTATGTTGGG